TTTTTTTTAAATCTTGCTAAATGTTAATGGACTAAATATTGTTAACAATAGTTCTTATTTGATAACTGTTTTGTTATGTATTTTACTATGTTAAAGTTAAAACCCTTCTTTTTATTTTAGACAGAAAAGAGATGATGGAAGATGTCATTCTGTAAATATGTTTCTCTTATAGGTTAATGAATAAAGCCCTGTTGGCCAATAGGAAAGCAAGATAGGCGGGACTAGGAGACAAGGAGGATTGAGGGAGAGGTAGGAGGAGATTCAACATGTAGAGACTTGAGGGAGAAGACAGTCCAGACCCTCTCTCGGGTAAGATAAGACCACATGGGAACACTTACATTAATAGAAATGGGTTAATATTTAAGACAGAGCTAGCCAATAAGACACATTAGTAACAGGCCAACAGCTTTATATCCAATACAGTGTCTCTGTGTGTTATTTGGAGCTGATACTGCTGTGGAACCAGGCTGGTGGGAAAACTGCTCATAACAGCTAGGACTACACAGTCCTGTCTTGAAAAACCAAAACCCAAAATCCAGAAACCAAAAACCAACCAAACAACACTGACATCAAGTGTAGAAAGAACTCAGAGCTGGCAGTGGTGGCACATGCCTTCAATCCCAGCACTCGGGAGGCAGAGGCAGGCGGATCTCTGTGAGTTTAAGGCCAGCCTGGTCTACAAGAGCTAGTTCCAGGACAGCCTCCAAAGCCACAGAGTAACCCTGCCTTGAAAAACCACACACACACACACACACACACACACACACACACACACACACACACACCCCAAAACAAAACAAAATTCAGAATAAATAGCACTCTACAATGCGAATGAATTATCAATAAAACCCTGGGCCTCCTTAGATTCCATCTGGCTTAAATCAGAAAGGGTATAATGACCAAAGTCTTCCCAGCATGAGTTCATCCTACAGCTGGTTGATGAGAAGCCACATTGGGGGCTGGAGACTTCTTTTGGTGTTTTAAGACTGTAGGCTAGTTTCAAACTCACTATACAGCCAAGACTGGCTTCAAACTTCCGATGCTCCTGCCTCTATTTTGAGTGTCGAGATTACAGATGTAATCTTAGGAGACCACACAAGCTGGATGCAGAAAGAGGTCACAGGCTGGTACCTCCCTCATCCCAGGGCAGAACAGAAAACTCCGGGTCACTGAATGAGCTGCAATTTCACTTTCTCTTCTAACCTGTCATCATCCTAGTTTTATACTCCACCTCATCCTGAAAAACCCTTTTCGATGATTGCAACTGCTTCTTTAAAGCCTGGTAAATAAGAATCTGGGAAACAATAGGCTGATGTATGTTTATCTGGGGAGAAATCACTTACACCAGAAACAGCTCACTGCCGCATGTTCCCATCCCAAGGATGCCTCCGGATGCTCTCTGTCTCTATCAGGAAGTAAGAGAGTGAGAGCTGGGGTCCATGACCCAGACCTAGTCCTCCCAGGTCACACCCGCACCTGTCCCCACGCCCCAATGGGCGTGGTCAGTGCAACAGGTGCAGGCGGAGTGGATATCTCACTTCTTCCAGCCTTTGTCTCCACGGGGGCCTCCTATCCCCATGCAGTACTTTTAACCAGGTACATTCTAGTTGTCCTTTGGACAAGAGCCTTTCAATCTTCTTGAGACCTAGTTTCCTCATCTCTTAGACTGGGAAGAGTGTACCAAACTTGATGATGGTGACTTGTGATGCCTAGGATTGAACTCAGGGCCTTAAACATGCTTGGCAAGAACACTACTCTGAGCTACAATAACCTCAGTCCCATTTGAATACCAAGTCTATGTAGAGAACTTAGCTCAATGCTTGCTACTTCGTGGGTACTCAATAAATGAGTTATTTTCACATCGGGACTTAAGAGAACAGCAAAGATCTGAGGGGACACTCCCTAGAGTGTATGTGTGGGGGGACAGGACACAAAAGAACATCATGATTTCCAGAACCTCTGTGGTACAGATTCTAGAGCTCTTCACAGAGGACAATGGCTATGGCCATCTCTGAAGTTTCCAGACTCCTGGTTAATATAAACACATAGGACTACAAAGGGAATTTGGTCAGAGGCCTCAGCCCACATGCAAAGAAAGTTGCTTGAACTTGAGTCAGAAGGGAAGGGTCATTCCAGACCAGGGACAATTCCTTCTGCCTGGCCATCTATCTACAGGCACTACTTCTCTACATCGGCTGGGCAGCAGTCACCTGGAGGCTTGCAGAGTTTAAAGAAACAAGACACCCCAGTCCTACTAAGCACTTGAGAAGTGGGGCATGGAAATCATTTCCAAATGTAGCACAGGTGACAGACTGTGCTGGGAAGCCCAGGATGAAGAGAATGCCACGGACAAATGTCCTGTTCTGAGCTTGGGGGACATGAAGACAAAGCAGCTGTCTTCTCCCCCCCTCCCCCCAGGTGGCATCTGCCAACAGACAGATCTGTGTCAGTTTCTCTGGCTCTTTAACAGGAAACCAATCAGGAGGCCATGGCACAGAGCTGCTCAACCATCCAGGCCTTCCTCGTCACCTTGGAAGAACTCAATAAAAGGTGCACTTCTTAATGAGATGAGCTTCGGCTTCAGCTAACATGCCAGGAACAGCTGGTTTGTAGCAGACCCAGGAGAGGGAGGCACACAAATAACAAGCCTTTTGGAGCTGCACCACCTTGTTCTCCTTTTGGGTCCATTTCTGACATGGAGGCCTGCTCAGAAAGGCTTTATGAGCTCATTGCAGCAAAATGTTCATGGAAATGTCTTCCCTGACACAATTCATTGCCTCTAAGCAAAATACAACTTGGGGGTGGAGGTGGGGTGATGGCTCAGCTGGCAGAGGTGGAAGTCATAAATATGATGATGACCAGAGTTCAATCACCAGATTCCAAAAGAGAACACGCATGCACGCGCGCGCGCGCGCGCGCGCACACACACACACACACACACACACACACACACACACACACTTCTGAAATCAAATATAAGATGTTTGATCTTAGACAAGTTAGTCAACCTCTCAGGTCTCTATGTCTATGATAATATCCTCTCTTAAAATTCATAAAATTTGCATCTGGATTACCAATAAATTGTCAGTCTAAAGGGCCGTGAAGGCTGCCTGGAGCATGGCAAAAGTTAAAGCACCTATCTGGAAATTAGGGTCCTTGGAGGCAGCTCTTTGCCTTACTTTGGCTTACTTGTGTGTTTGGCAAGCTCACTTAGTTCTCTGGGCCACTTCACAAATACACCACACAGGGCCAATCAGCTAAGAATGAGCTAATGTCCTCCTCCAAAAGGCACCTGCAGACTTCTCTGCAGTGCATTTGTAACTCCTCCATTCACAACAAACACACAAGTGTTGCAATGGTTTAAGTACAGGCTAGGTGCTCTGACAGGCAGACAGAAGCTTTAGGGGTCATATACTCATCTGGCCACATCCTCCTTTAGAGCATCAACCAGTAATTCCAACTCCTTGAGAAACTGAGGCAAGAGGGTCACAAGTTCCAGGCCAGCCTGAGTAACACAGGGAGATTACACCTGTAATCCAGGCAGTTGGGAGTTAGAGGCCAGATTGTTTCTTAAAAAAAAAAAAAAAAAAAAAAATGGGGTGGGGATAGGCTTGGAGTTGCACACCTTTAACCCCAGCATTTAGGAGGAAAAGGCAGGCCAGCCAGGGCTATAAAGCAAGATCCTATCTCAAAAAACAAACAAAGCAACAAAAGGAATGCTCACCCCTTAAAAAAATAATAATAATAATTAGAAGCAGGCACCTTTGGACCCAGTGCTGGGGTGTGGAAGTGGCCAGAGGGAAGGATCAGTGTGAATTCTCAGTCAGTCAAGTGTACTTGGCAAGTTCCAGGCTAGCCAGGACTATACAGGGAGACCATAAGAAGGGAAGAGAAAATAATATTAAGAAGATGCATGTTGGTGAGTCCCAAATTTTTGTCTTACTCTTTTTGAGGCAGGGTTTCAGTATGTAGTCCAAACTGGTCTCAAATTCACAATCGTCCTGCCTCAGCAAATGCTGGGCATGCACCATCACATGCAGCTCCTAAATTGTATTTGGGATTTTTTTTAAAAAAAAAAAATTATGTATTTTACTGTGTGTGTGTGCTTTGAGACAAAGGCTCATTACTTAGCCCATGCTGGTCTCAGACTCACAATTCTCTTTCCTAAGCATGCTAGGATTATGAAACAACTCTTTTTTGTTGGTTTGTTTTGAGACAGGGTCTCTCTATATAGTCCTGGCTGTCCTGGAACTCGCTCTGTAGACAAACTGCCCTTGAACTCACAGAGATCTATCTGCCTGCTTCTGCCTTTGGAGCGCTGGGATTTTAGGCGTGCGCCAGGTATAAGCAACTCATATCTAGGCCAGGATGCATACATGGTGTGGTGGAAGGGAACTCACATGAGAAAGGGGCCAGCAGTGAATTCCAGCCCCTATTCCAATCACTAATTAGCTATCATTTCGGATAAGTCCATTGACCCCTATGAAACGGAAACAATAACTATTTAATCCAGAACTGACGGTCCAAATAGATGTAAAAGTATTCTGAGCACCTCCGAACAATAAACAAAGAAGTAGAACTTAGACTATATGTTCAAATTTCGATTCTCACTGGCTGGAAGACTTTGGGCAAGTAGTTTTAACTTTCTCATGCCTCGGTTTTCTCATCTGCACAATGGGAACACATCCAGTAACTACCCCCCGGACCAACGTTGCCTTGACAAGCAACCCAAAGCATCCACTTAGGCAAAGGAGTGCCTGTCACAATCCTCGATCAATATCATTAGATAAACTTCACCCTTCCCTCTTGCACCCGTGTTTCACGGGTCTTCCGCGGCCGGGAAGCACCGGAGTCGAGTTAGCAAGCGCGCCTTGGGCTTCGGTGTCTGTCGGACGGCGGCCTCCGCTTCTTTGGACCCTGTCCTCGCCTCGCAGTCCGCCGCCCTCCTTAAAACCCTCCAGGGACCCAGCTCCCTGCCCTGCATGGGCGTCGACTCTTACTGGATAACCTTGGCCGGATCCCCGTGGATGCCATAGATGAGCGCCCGCACCGTGGACGGCTCAGAGGAAGCAGAGTAGGAGGAGGCGGTCGGACCGCGGAGGCTCCACGTCTTAAGGAGACTCGCTTGCAGAGGCGCCCGGGCTCGCGCCCCTGTCAGTCGCCCACTGACCAACATGCCGCCTCCAGCTTTCAGCTCTGGCAGAACCCGGCGCGCCGGGTCACGTCATCCGCCCGCGACCAGAAGCCTGGGCTCCGCCCCGCTCATGGCCCCGCCCCCGCCCCCGCCCTTTTAATGAGGCGCCACTCTGTTCTTCCGCGCCGTAGCGGTGTTCTGTGAAACCGCTACCGGCCTGGCGTGGGGGAGTGGGGTGGGGTGGGGTAGGAAAATCAGGGACCTGGACAAGAAGTTGCAGAACCAGCCGAAGCAGCCTTCCCAACGAATGGAGTCTGGGACTGACCTAAAGCTGCGAATACTGTTTGCAGTGCGGTGTTTTATTTGGGGAAAGTCATTTACATTCTGGCCTCAGTTTCCCCTTCCTACCCTTAAAAGAACCGTGCTAGGCTCTTTAAAGTATCATTTCCTTTAAATCTCTATTTCCCCAGAACAACATCATCCCCAGGTCATCACCATCACCGTGATTATTATATTGGTTCCTTGAGATAGGGTTTCTCTGTATAGCTCTGGCTGTTCTAGTACTCTCTCTGTAGACTTGGCTAGCCTCGAACTCAGAGCTTTGTCTGCCTCTGCCTCCTGAGTGCTGGGATTAAAGGAGTGCACCACCAGGGCATAGGGACTTATAGTTACTTCTCTGCCCCAGCTGACGTGGAAGCAGGAATACCAGGCTCAAATCCTAGCCCTACTCTTTCCTAGCTAGCCAGCTTGGGCAAGTGAGTACAGCTCCGAGACTGTTTCTCAGCAGTGCTGTGAAAATTACACTCCTCATTTCAGATGGTTGTGAGGACTGGATGAAATGTTAGAAGAATGTTATGGTGGACAGGATAACACACTGTAAAAACTTCCAAGTTGTTCAGATGTGAGGGAAAAAAATGCAATGAGGAAGGCATCTTTTAACATGCTCATTGTAGAAAGACATTGAGTAGGAAAGTGGAAGCTCTTTCTGAAAAGGTGTAGACCTGTAAAAATGCAGGGTCTTATTTTTGGTGGAGGGAGGGCACAAGCATAAATAAACCTCTGGTTGAACCTTCGTGTACATGTGAATATGCACTATTGCAGTTTGAAGAAAAGGAGCACTCTGCTGGAGGCAGGCTGGGACTTTTGAAGGAGCTGCTGTTGGAGCCAGACCTTTGACTTCAAATCTGGGTGCATGGAAATCATATGAGGTTGTGGTGGAATATTATTTTAACTAGGCAAAAATGTGTTACATTTGTCTGTGCAGCATTTGTTTAATTATGTAAGGATGTATTGCTTTTGTTTCACCTTGCCTGCCTAAGTCACCTGATTGGTCTAATAAAGAGCTGAATAGACCATCAATAGCTAGGCAGAGAAAGGAGAGGTGGGAGTGGTGGGCAGAGAGAAAAAGTAGGAGGAGCAATCTAGGCTTGAGAGAGAAGAGAAAGGAAGAGCATGAGGGAGAAACAGAGGGACATGACCAGGGCCAGATAGCCCCTAGCCAGACACTGGAGGAAGCAGGAAAGTAAGATATATAGAAAGGGAGAAAGAAAGAAAAAAAGGGAGGAAGAAAGAAAGAGAGAAAGGAAGGAAAGTAAAAGGCCCTGAGGCAAAATGTAGATGAGAAACAGGTTAAATTAAGTTAAAAGAGATAGTTAGAAATGAGCCTAAGTTAGGCCCAGCATTCATAAGTAATATTGTCTTCCTGTCATGATTTGGGAGCTGGTTGATGACCTAAAAGAAAGCCTGGTACATGAGGTTCTATTTTAGGTCTACTGATACAGAATTATGTGAGAGGTACATGATCCAAAAGTATACATCTTTACAAGCTTCCCAAAGTGTGGTTATGTGGTAAGCCAGGGATAAGTGCTAGAGAGCCAAGGCTTTGAGGGACAAAGATGATTGTCCCAAAGTTTGCCATGGAATAGAAACCTTTTGAGGAAAAGAGCCCAACAAAATATGGAGAGTAAGGCTTTGGGAACTGGACACAGGCAAATCTAGATCTGAGTCCTGGTTCTGCCATTTTCTGGATGTTTGGTTTTGTATTAGTCACTTGGATTCTCTGTGTCTCTGTTTCCCTCACAGTTAAAATGAAAGGAATAGATCTAGGAGTGTAGCTCAGTGGTAGAGCACACACTTAGTATCCGTGATTTCCTGGGTTTGATCTCTAATGAGGCAAAGAAAAAAAAAACCCAATAAATTGAAAGACTAATAGTGTCAGGGTTGTCTTGAAGACTGAAGGAGATAATGCCCCTTGAAGCACTTAGCACATTGCTTGGCACATGGGAACAATCAAGAACTATTACAGGGGCATGCTTTGCAGATAAAATGAGAAATATCACATCTAAGACACCAAGGCTTGGCTCGAGTACGTGCTCAGAAACTGTGTGCACTTTATTAGAGAAAGCTGATGTCTACCAGTGGGAGAATAGCCTGGTCCCACAGTTATATCTGTGCATGTGAACACATGTGAACACCATACCCATTCCTTAGTACCCCTCTTCATAGGTAGGTGTGCTTGTGCCAGGAAATTCATAAGGTTCCTCTGCTGTAGGACCCTTTAGGTGACATTGAGCTGTTTTTATTATTCCGACCCAGTCCCTGGGCAGCCAACTAGGAAAGCCTGGAGAATCAGAAGCAAGCTTTCCTCCTTGATACTGAACTTCATCTCTCTGGACATCCCTATAAACCTTCATATTTGGTCTATACCATCTGGGTTCACCCAGGGGTGCAGTTTGAGAACCACCGACAAAGGGGTTCAAGCCTATGGTCTTAACCCTGCATTCAAGACAACATGTACTTTGATGCCCACCTCATCTTTTCTACTTTATCTTCTCTTAGACTGCACATAGCCTGTGACCCCACTAGATCTGAGCCTCCCTTTTGCCAGCCCATCCTTGTCTTATGCTTTTATTCAGGTTGCTACTGCCTGAAATGAGTTTTCCTGTCTAAACTGTCAGAAGAATTCCAGGTTGGGTATTGTTTTATTTAGCCAATCCAAATGCCTTTGCAGTTTCTCTTGGCTAATATTATGGCCTTTAGGATACTATCTCATGGTTATTTGTATGCCCACTTCCCCCTCCAGCTAAGAGTGTGGCCTTGTTTAGTTATCTCCATGACACCAGCACTCAATATGGGGCCCTAGCACAGGATGGGCATCATAAATATTCCATGCGTTGTTGGTAATTGAATTTCTTTCTGACCGGGCATGGACTGTGGTACCCTATCTTTCTCCCTAGATTTGGGGCAGTCACTCCAAGTCAGGGCCTTTCTTCATCGCTCAAACATTGTTGAAGAGTGTGGCCCCTTTTTAAACACAAAGGGGAATGTTCTCTTTATCTGTCTACCTGTTGCTAGTACTCTCCATTCACCACAGTTTCCCAGGCTGTCCCCTGTCCAAGGAGCAAGGGAATGTGGAATCTATCAAATTTGGATTCAAATCCTGACACTTTCATGGTCTGACTGTGTGACCTTGGCAAATATCTTATGCTTTCTGAGTCTCAGTTTACACACCTCAAAACTGAAGATTAAATAATAAAAAAAAAATCACTTCTATCCCCTCTGCAATCTGGTTTGCTGATGGCTCCTCTGTTTCAGCACACATTTCTATCTGCCTTCACTTTTCCTCTTTCTGTCTCTGTCTCCGTGTGACTCTCTTAACGCTCTGGTCCCTACCATCTTTGTGTCTTTGCTCCTTCCCTGTCTCAGCCTGGAGTCAAGCAGCAGTTACAACAGAAGAGCCCAGTAGCCCAGGAACATGCATTTCTTCCCCTTCTGACCTCAGAGCCCAGTCTCAGTGTGAGCCAGCCCAGAGAAGAGGCAGGGAACAGGGAGGTACTTAAATATATTCGTCCGTGTCTTTAGTCTTTGGGAAAGAAAAATCTGAACTCAAGACTTTCCACTTATCATTTTCCTAGGGTTTAACCTAAAACGTCTCCCTTAATCAGCTTCCGGTGTGGTCTGTAGACCCTGGCAACTCCTCCAGCTGCACTTGTCTGACTCCACCCCCCTCCCCGCCCCACCATTCCATTCCAGCCTCCCTAATCTCCATAGACCCACCTGCTTATTTTTGTTCAGTCTAGCTCCTCTGGCTAAAGTGTTTCTTCCCATTGGTCTGCTTGAGGCTGGCTCCTCATACTTCAGGTCTCAGACCATGTGGCCTCAGGCCACTTTCTCAGCAAAGGCCTCTTGGATCACATTATGTATAACAGGACTCGCTTCTGTAGGGTTCTCTGCTACAGAGCTCCCTCCCCCTGAGGGTCCTCGTCTCAGGTTGCTGTTCCATCTACTTATATTTATTGTGCCTCCTCCCTGCTGGGACGCAAGTTTCATGAGGTCTTCATGAAAGCAAGGACTGTGTCTAAAACCATTTATCAGTTACCCACTCATTCGTTACTTATTGAGCATGGCAGATACCAGGCCCCGAGGGACAATGCTTCCCCTGGGGAGCCCACGTTCTAAAGATGGTGATAAATACCAAATCCATCAAATAGCAGGTGGTCTGCTTATAACTGCAACAACCCTCTCCCTTCACAGCTAGTCCCACCTCCCTTCTGTTTTCCCCTTGAAGGCAAGCTTCATGAGGGTGGAGGTTTTTTAAAATTTATGTGTTAATTTTAAATTGTATGTGTGATTGTGCATGAGAATGCAGTGCCCTAAAGGGCCAGAAATGGTCAGGTACCCTGGCAGCTGAGCCACTGGACAAGGGCGCTGGGAATCCATCCTGGGTCCTCTTCAAGAGCAGTATGTACTCTCAACCACTGAGCCATCTCTCTGGCTCCCAGAGACCTTTTTTTTTTTTCTTTTTTATTAGTTTGCTTTTTGGTCTGTTTTATAACTCCTCCGTGACCTACAATAATAATTGAACCAATGACCCTGTCAGTGTTTGAGTGGGTTTCCAGATGTGAGTCTGTTTCTGATTCAGATCTTGGTGTTGCCTCATACTGGTGCATAATCATGGAAAAATCACGATCTGCAATCTCAGTATTCTCAACTGTGTAACGGGATTACAGAGGTCTGAGCCTCCTAGGGCGATGATGAAGATTAACGGAGTCCCAGAGGGAGAGGCATGTAAATGGCGCCTGATTTTACGT